TTTGCGCTTTTTCATATCACGCGCTTTTTCTATTGACTCTATCTCACTCTACTTTGTCTATGGAACAAGGGTTTATGGTCGTAGGCCGTGAAAAACCTGACAGTAATACGTAGATGATTCAAAATGTGAATTATTCACTTTATTAATCGGTAAATAGTTTGAGTGTCTACGATTATAACAAATCACCAATTTAAGCCATGAAGATACAGACATGGTCTTGTTATTTATTTATTTCAGCGTACGTACACAATTTGATTCGCGATTCATTTTACACTACTTCATTTTTTGAAGTGCTGTGATTATGAAGTACTGTAATGCATAAGTATGTTAACTAATGTTCAAGAAAGCTAATGTTTTTGTCATTGCCTACCTACTTAAAATACTTAACCGAATTAAATAAAACATCGCCAGCTCTAGAGTTATTCTACTTATTTCCAGCGTAAATTTCACTAAAAAGTGTTGGTTACATAGATTTCACTCTTTTTTAAGCATTTAAGATGGTAGTCATTATTTTTGCTGATTATGTGATTCTCGCTCATTTCCTTTTAAAAGGATAAATCAATAGGCTCTTTTCTCTGCTTGAAGTTTTTGGTGGAAATTTAATGAGTTTATTATATTATATGAATATTATATTTTTCTGTTTTTGTGAATTTGTTATAATTTGTTAATATGACATCTTTAAGGTTATTGGGAATTATGACTTCCGATTCGATGTAAATTTGTATATTGTATAGACAATTGTTAAATAGTTAATATTGTTATTGAAATATCATTGTACGTTGGTAACATCCAATAGCCAAGATTATATATAGGATTGTTTGTAGAATTGCTTAGACACACACTCCGGACAAACTCTTGCAAACAAAGAGTCTCTGTATGGTAACTAACACAGTCTTATAATTCATTCGAGGAACTGATTATACCTCTCTTGTAAACTGCTCGTTAAACATATATTTATTTGCCACCTATACACTAGGTTGCACATTCATTATACTCTCATATGATTATCACACACCACTTACTTATACATTTGTATAACATAGTAAGTTTAATTTAAGTAATGAAATATTAAACTCATTTGTATAATAAACTTATAACATTGAGCTAATCATTACAGTAAATTCAGTTTTTCTTGTTCGAGGGGTGAGAGTCTGGCGACCCGTACTACAGGCTATTCAAATCTACCTTGGGCTCTAGTCACTCACTACCCAGCCGATATCACAAAATTGCGTTATTTTTCATAAATTTAATTAGCTCTAAGGGTCATAATCCAGAACTCAACTCAATGCTCAAGTCAGGACTTGAATATGATTTCAAGGACTAGAAATACGACCCTAATGACAAGGGCTTGAGTATGATTTCTAGTTCTGGAATACGACTCTTAGGGTCATATTCCAGAACTCTACTCAATGCTCAAGTCAGGACTTGAGCAGACTTGAGTATGATTTCAAGCACTGAAAATACGACCCTAATGGCAAGGACTTGAGTATGATTTTCAGTGCTCACTGCAATACTCAAGTCCTAACTTGAGCATTGAGTACAGTTCTGGAATACGACTCTCAGACTGCTTTTGTGAGTAAAAATAAAAATAAATATAAAAAATATTAACTTAAATTTTGTAGGCCATGATAACCCAGATCTCACTCTCCCTCACTCACGCGGTATACGAAATCGTTCGTATTGAACAGAAAGTGTGTGAATAGAAAACAATTAAAAATTGTTCCGTTACTACTAATAAAATAAATGAATAACCAGGCTAACAGTTGGTTTTTTTGTAAAGAGCTTTCAAGACCTAGAAGTTCTGAATTGAAAACAAAATTGTAAAGAATTTTTAATACTATGTAACGTAAAACGGAACGGAACGAATTTTTATGTAATTTATTTGCTAAATCGTTAGTGGCCAATGCCATGGAAAATATATTGACAGGCCAGATGTCAATGACATTCATGTAATTGTTACAATATCAACCAATTTCGACGGTATCAAATCAAAATATCTTGAATATTTTAGCGTGTAGTGTTGCTGCTTTTTGGACTTTTTTAGTATCACAGTCTAGTAGTAGTTCTGTAATTATTTGAACATGTCTACCTCACTTTCGGCTTAAATCAGTTTTAAAAAAACGGGTCACAATATTTTTTTTTATAATTCTGCGAAGTAGACTTGAAAAATCTTGTTTACCCCCGACTCGACGCTGTATAAACTGCCGCATTGTTGGGATTTTGTTTGGATTACGCTATGTGGGGAAAATGCCTTTGAATGCTGAATGCTGAATGAAAATTCTAGAGAATTTTATCACATTTTTGTTACACTGATGATCACTGATGATTACTCTATTTATTTTTTTGTTTATGAACGATATTGATATTTTTTTCAACATCGCACATACGCTGCTTATATAGCAACGTTTGTATAGAATTATTAGCAAACCGCTTATATGTATAAAACTATCCAGTAGGATTAGAAGCACTTTATTTTGTATTATAATCGATCAGAGCCTGGCTCTTAAATAGAATGATGATGATCAGTCAGACCCTTCTTCGCGTTTTGACCGGTCCCCGGTGTGAAAAAACAATACAGCTGTTGCCGAACAAAGCCGAGCAATTGGTATTTTAAAGGACTATCCACACACATTAGGGCCGTGCCCGGGACGTGGACGGGGCGTGCTAGTTTGTACGAACTGTGGGGTCCGTCCCGGCGCCGGCCCGGACCCGGACATGTGAAACGAGTTCATTCAAAATATACGCAACGATATTTTTTTGAGCCCCTTGATGGAGCACGGCAAGTCCTCGTCCCGGGTATGTGTGGATAGACCTTAATACCACAACTTGCCACTCGAGTTTATTTCTAATTATAGCATAAAGTATATGTATAGATGGGCACATTTTTACTTTCTTAATTATTTGATATATTTTTAAGCGTAATAGTAATAATATAATAAATACTGTAATAACGTGACGTGGCTTGCGTGTCATGGAACGTCACAGTTGTCAAAAATGAAACAGCTTCTTTGCAAGATGGCGGGGTATTGGTTAAGACATACAAAATTATATTGAAAAAAACTCTTGTATTTCCCCCGAACTATATTTCATTTCAAAAACACTACAAATTCTGAGAATGAATAAATATTATTATATGTGGGAAATATGACCGTTGCTCTCGCCAAATTTATAACCTTGATTTTTGGGGATTTTGAATAATTTGCATATCGGAGGGAAGAATCGGACGTGTATTTCATCTCCCCGCAAAAATATAGAGAGCGCGCCTTCAGACAATCGGATTGGTAATAAAATCGGATGCTTTTTTTTTTTTTTTTTTTTTATTTGGATGCTATTTCCTCTGACGTGACGCTCGGACGTGTATTGAGTGTTCATACAATTATATTACAACAACTTACAATTATACTGCCTCCGTGGCCGAACGGTTACCATGCCAGACTGCTACGCAGAGGTCCCAGGTTCGATTCCCGGGCCGGGAGAAATATTTGTATGGCCTACAATTATTTCTCTCGTGAGTTTGGATGTAATTTGTGGTTGTCTATGTGTGTGTCCATGGCACCCGCGACACAGGGTTTCCCTAGTGCGGGGCTATGTTGTGTGCGTTACTTATTATTTATTATTATATGGTACGAGCGCCTTCCGGTAATCGGATCAGACTATCGGATGGAAAAATCGGGCGTGTATTCCCGTACTAAAATGACAGCTACCTGGATGACTCGTTAATGCACTGACACGTTTACCCTACACACATCTGCCAGAAAGCATTCGTATCGTGTATATACTCATAATTTTCTTGTCTTCAACAGACACCACTTGTTTTCTTGGCTAGATACGACAAAGTTCTTGTCGTGTACAAGACTATTCTCATCTTTTCTATAGCAGACACGTTGAATTTCTTAGCGTATACACGCGCCGGAATGTGATCGGGTGAAATAATTCGATCATATGTTCGATTTTTTAGCGCGTCGCTCGTCGCTCACGATACTTCCATATGTTGTTTATAAGTGTCAAATTATACAATTAGCTTTTATTCTTCCCTGCTGCTCGGTAACGTGTATGAAGTTAAATGCATTATAGATAAACCACACTTAGGACGCTAAAATTTCATTCTAGGAAAAGTAACACCTACAAGACAAAAATACATAACAAACGACTTTTGAGCATTCAAAATTACTAATTTATTATTCATTCATATTTTAATATTCACTAGCGCACTCATAAATAATCACAACATACCGAAAAACAGATTAAACTAACAAAATTACCATGTAATGGACACTACGTCACGGAGCAATTAGGATGAATGATTGATATAGACTCACTGATCCGTTGATCCGTCAACCCGTTGACGAATCGTTGATCGATTTTTTGTTCGATCGATTTTTGGTTCGATCGAACGAAGGTTCTATCGAACGAATTCTCTATCGAACAAATATTCGACCAAAACGAAGAGTGAGAAGGCAAACCGTGTCATGAGTGGGGACTTTATATGAGAATGAACGAGACAACAATGATATAGTGAATTGTTGAATAATCCTTAAAATTATAGCGATGAAGTCGAATATTGCGCGCATGACCGATAAAACTCTAAAATTATCAGGTTATTTAGAAGCTAGTGACCCGGGTTATTAGGTCACGGGCACTGTTCGAATAATGTTAATTCGATCGACACACGTCTGCTAAGCTTTATTTCAAACTTACATTTAGCAAAAAAGTTGAGGCTGGTTAAATTTTCCTGGGAACAAAGTACCAAACTGCATACCAATTCGGTTCAAGTCTTTTTAATATTATGATCGTGTTCGATAAGATAAAATATTTAATGATTAAATCTTTTTAGATGACTCATTATATTACGTACATCATTATTACTGTTGACTCACGCTCATTGAGCGCTTGTAAATTTTTCAACCAATAGAAGCGCATTGCGTCATTGGTCATTGTCGTTCATTGGTTGGATTCTGGAATATTCCAGAAAACCGTTGTGACGTGTGAAAATCGGCCCGCTGGTATATAAACTTTTCGTGTGATTGGGGGCCATTTTATTTCGTGAAACGAAGCCGTCAATCGCGCACGTTTGCTGAGCGTTCCTAAGTATTATTCTAAGTGTCGACTGATTACTATCTAGCACTAGGCCAAGAAGCATTACTAGACAGACACAGTGAGTATCCCATTTTTCACTTTATTCTTGTGCGCTTTAATTTATGACAAAGAACTAAAAAGTTACATATTAGGTGTCGGCGTGACCGCCTCTGCTTTTAAGGAAGTTCCTTGAACTCTTCAACCACCTACTGATTAGTCATAGAGCTATGTCATTATTCGCCGCATTTTAACTTATTTCATCATTCTTTCAGTGGATGTTGGATGTAACTAAAATCTTTGTGCAAATTCTTTGTGTTCAAAAATTAGCACGTGGTATGCGCTCTTCTCGTACCTTCCACTTAATTCCGTCAGCAACATGACTTTTAGTTCATTATTAGGTTTTATCCTTATGTTAGGTTTGAAGGGAAAACCCCAGCTAGCATTTTAATTAGGTACGTATCGCATTCGAGAAGTTTCGTACCTACGCGACGCGCGCATCGATTTTCCACGATGGCCGCCGACATGCTGTGCTATTTCTTTCCATCGTTATTCTCGTACTAACATAAATTCAATGAAGTTCCAGAACCGAAATGACCTCGTGTTGTCATTCATGGTTTCTAATTCTCGAATGCATTCTATTTCGAAGAGAACACCTTTTTGAAAGTCCTTAATATTAACGTGTGAAAATAGGTTATTTTTCTTTTTGTTCTCATTTATTAAGTATGGTGAGATTGTCTTTAAACACCTATGAAAAACGCGACAAATTTTTTAACGCCTCCGACTATACTAATCTTTTAACTTTTAATCTTCACAAATACGGTGCGAGTCTTTTTTAAACAATTTGAGTCATCGTGATGTCGAACCTCCTGTCTTAATTTTAAAGTAGAGTCCTGTAAAATAGGAGTCCAGTATTTTTATAAGGCCCCGAATCATTTTCGTTACTTATGTACTTATTTATACACATCTACTATAACTCATTAAATAAGTTCGGTGTTTTTTTTTTTATCAGACAATGGCCAAACCACCAGCAGTGGGTATTGATCTGGGTACAACCTACTCTTGCGTGGGTGTATTCCAACATGGCAAGGTGGAGATTATCGCTAATGACCAGGGCAACAGGACAACGCCGTCGTACGTTGCCTTCACCGACACCGAGCGTCTCATTGGTGATGCCGCTAAGAACCAGGTGGCGATGAACCCCAACAACACCATCTTTGGTAAGAATCTATTATTTTCTTTGGATACAATTCCAGTTTAATTCAGGTTTTAAAAATATGGTTCGTCATTGAAGTTAGTTTAAGCATAATTAGCTAATGGCATTTAATGTTAACAATGAGTCATATGGTAAACTAGACTAAAGGTGCAGGTTCTATATTTGTTTCCTGTACGTAATGAATAATTTCCTTATATTACAAAAGATTTGCAAATAGTTATAGTAGTTGTTATCAGAATATGCAATACCCGCCGTTTTTTGTTAATCTAATTAAATTATTTGTTGTTACTATTCATGATGATACCCAATGAACTAGACTAGAGTCTCTGAAAATATTGAATGAGAAAATGAATCTGACAATTGCGTAAGCTCTCAACAAGATTTTATTTTGTGTTAGAATCAGTAAAAGACACATCTAAATTGTTTTCAGATGCCAAACGTCTTATTGGGCGCAAATTCGATGATGCCACTGTACAAGCTGACATGAAGCATTGGCCTTTTGAGGTTATCAGTGATGGAGGCAAACCAAAGATTAAAGTTTCATACAAGGGTGAAGATAAGACCTTCTTCCCCGAGGAAGTTAGCTCAATGGTCCTTACAAAGATGAAGGAAACAGCTGAGGCCTACCTCGGCAAAACTGTGCAGGATGCAGTCATCACGGTTCCAGCGTACTTCAATGATTCACAAAGGCAGGCCACAAAGGATTCGGGTACTATCTCTGGCTTGAATGTTCTCCGTATTATCAACGAACCGACTGCTGCTGCGATTGCATACGGTCTTGACAAAAAGGGTGGCGGAGAACGTAATGTCCTTATTTTCGACCTTGGCGGCGGTACTTTCGATGTGTCCATCCTGACCATCGAGGATGGTATCTTCGAGGTGAGATCTACTGCCGGAGACACCCATTTGGGAGGCGAAGACTTCGACAACCGAATGGTGAATCACTTTGTACAAGAATTCAAGAGGAAATACAAGAAGGATCTCACTACCAACAAGAGAGCCCTTCGTCGTTTACGAACAGCGTGTGAACGCGCGAAGAGAACTCTCTCTTCTTCTACTCAAGCAAGCATTGAAATTGACTCGCTCTTCGAAGGTATTGATTTCTACACCTCCATCACCAGGGCGCGCTTTGAAGAATTGAACGCGGATTTGTTCAGATCCACCATGGAACCGGTCGAGAAATCGCTCCGTGACGCCAAGATGGACAAGTCTCAAATCCATGACATAGTCCTGGTTGGTGGCTCTACTCGTATTCCCAAGGTCCAGAAGCTCCTTCAAGATTTCTTTAACGGAAAAGAGCTCAACAAGTCCATCAACCCTGATGAGGCCGTAGCTTATGGTGCGGCTGTACAGGCTGCAATTTTGCATGGTGATAAGTCTGAAGAGGTGCAGGATCTGCTTCTGCTTGATGTTACACCTCTGTCTCTTGGTATTGAAACTGCAGGTGGTGTAATGACCACACTGATCAAGCGTAACACCACCATCCCTACTAAGCAAAACCAAATTTTCACTACTTACTCGGACAATCAGCCCGGTGTGCTCATCCAGGTCTTTGAGGGTGAGCGTGCCATGACCAAAGATAACAACCTCCTTGGAAAATTCGAACTGACTGGTATTCCTCCTGCGCCTCGTGGTGTTCCTCAGATCGAGGTCACCTTCGACATCGACGCTAATGGTATCCTCAATGTGTCTGCTTTGGAGAAGTCTACCAACAAGGAGAACAAAATCACCATCACAAATGATAAAGGTCGCCTGTCTAAAGAGGAAATTGAGCGTATGGTTAACGAGGCTGAGAAGTACAGGACTGAAGATGAAAAACAGAAGGAAACTATCCAGGCCAAGAACGCTCTGGAGTCCTACTGCTTCAACATGAAGTCAACAATGGAAGATGAGAAACTGAAAGATAAGATTTCTGATAGTGATAAGCAGACCATCCTGGACAAATGCAATGACACCATTAAATGGCTGGACTCCAACCAATTGGCCGATAAGGAGGAATATGAACACAAGCAGAAGGAATTGGAGGGCATTTGCAACCCAATCATCACTAAGCTGTACCAAGGAGCTGGTGGTGCCCCTGGCGGTATGCCCGGCGGTATGCCTGGCTTCCCCGGTGGAGCCCCAGGCGCAGGAGGTGCCGCTCCCGGTGGCGGTGCCGGTCCAACCATAGAGGAGGTCGATTAAAACACATTCCACGTTTTTGCATTAAGATTTTATGGCATAGTGGTATAAGCCCCATGCTTTAAATTCAATAAATGATTGAAACCAATTTTTTCGTATTATTTTTAATTATGGTCTCAAGATGTCCCTAAGTAAGGAAAAACTTGCAAAGATCATTGCAATAGATTGTTAATAATTTAGGTACAATGTATATATATCATTGCAATTAGAGAGGTCATGGATAA